CTAATCTGCTAAGTTAGTAAGATGATACCAGAAACGTCACATAGCAATACCTGAATTGCTAAGTTATTAAGATGATACCAGAAATGTCACATAACAATACCTGAACTGCTAAGTTAGTGAGATGATACCAGAAATGTCACATAACAATAACTGAACTGCTAAGTTAGTGAGATGATACCAGAAATGTGACATAACAATACCTGAAGTGCTAGGTTAGTAGGATGATACCAGAAAACACACATTACAATGCCGTAATTGCTAAGTTAGTAATATGATACCAGAAAAGTCACATCGCAATTCCTAAAGTGCGAAGTTAGTAAGATGATACCAGAAACGTCACGTCACAGTACCGGAATTGCTAGATTAGTAAGATGATAGCAGAAATGTCACGTCGTAGTTCCGGGATCGCTAAGTTAGTAAGATGATAACAGAAAAGTCACATAACAATACCTGAACTAAGTTAGTGAGATGATACCAGAAATGTCACATAACAATACCTGAACCGCTAAGTTAGTCAGATGATACCAGAAATGTCACATAACAATACCTGAACTGCTAAGTTAGTCAGATGATAACAGAAACCACACAACACAGTTCCGGAATTGCTAAGTTAGTAATATGATACAGTCAATCATCAACAAAGATCTTCCAGGCAGGCAGAGGCAGAACATGCACTCAAGGTCAAAAGCCTAGTGTTATCAAGTTAAGGAGGCACAATTTTAATAAACATGTTTTGGGGGGATTGTAGAGCAGACTGTCTAGTTTCAGGAACACTTTGGATCATCTCCCTAGGACTCGTAGTCTCTGGTGAACTTTTACCCGTCATCCTACGTCACTCCTCCGTGGAGCCATTCCCTAATTTATGCTAATTGAAAATCAATTAAGCAGGAAGTGCACTTAGCATTTATGCAACCATAATTACGCCGAGCGATTATGATATGGTGGCTTGTGATAAACTCACCTGCTAGTTTCATATCAAGGAGGCATAATTATAATAGACATGTATTGAAGAGATTGTACAGTACACTGCCTAGTCTCAGAAACACTTTCAATGATCTTCATAGGTCGCTCCTACATGTAGTTATGGCAGCTTAGGTGACTACATTGACCTAACATTGCCTAACTGTCAAAATTTAAAAATTTACTGCGGGACGTCGGTAACAGCTACGGTCACGAAACTCGGCAAGGTCGTTCACGCAGGCGTCTAGTTTCGTTGTGCCGAATCTCAGACCTCTAGCTCGTACGGCTTGGCCGTGACCCCCACGTAATGTTGTCTGAGAAACGGAGTCGATCATCTGGTTAAAGATCTTCCCTCTAGGCAGATAAAAAAAACAGTCTATTTTCAAATTAAGGAAACATAATTTTAAAGCACATGTATAGGGGGAATTGAAGCTCAGACCATCTAGATTCAGGAACACTTTGAACCATCTTCCTTGCTTCTACGGTTGTGCAGTTATACCGACTTAAGTTATTTTGAGGCCTACATTGCATGACAGCCATGGCACTGTAACTGCTGACCTTTGCAAATTCAAGTGGTCACTGCAGACCTTTGGTAAATGCTGCAGTCATAAAACTCGGCACAGTTGTTCCTGAACTGGTCTAGTTTGTGGCTGCCACACCTCTATCTCATACGGTTTGGCCGTGATGCCCCCCCATGTTAGTTTGAGGCCTAGCACTTGGGCATTGCCTGCCGCATTTACTAAGATTAAGTACGGAAGTACATCGTACATCTACCTACACCTTAAATATTCTGAACCACACTGTAGCGATTCAGAACAGCATCGTCGATGATCTGTCATCATAACGGTACAGAATTACATCAGCTATATCATGAACATCTGACGACACCTTAACAGTTCCTAACATAACCTTAATTAATCTGAACTGCACCATCAATGACCGGTCACCTTAACGGTACAGAATTATATTGCCGATATCATGAACATCTGACTACACCTCAACAGTTACGAACGTAACCATAATTAATCTGAACTGCACCATCAATGACTGGTCACCTTAACGGTACATAATTACATCGGCGATATCATGAACATCTGATGACACCGTAACAGTTCCGAACATAACCTTAATGAATCTGAACTGCACCATCAATTACCGGTCACCTTTACGGTACAGAATTAAATCAGCGATATCATGAACATCTGACGACACCTTAATAGTTCTGAACACAACCTTAATTAATATGAACTGCACCGTCAATGACCGGACAGCTTAACGGTACAGAATTATATCAGCGATATCATGAACATCTGACGACACCTTAACAGTTACGAACGTAACCTTAATTAATCTGAACTGCACCATCAATGCCCGGTCACCTTAACGGTACAGAATTACATCGGCGATATCATGAACAGCTGACAACAACTTAAGAGTTCATAATGTAACCATAATTAATCTGAACTGAAACATCAACGACCGGTCACCTTAACGGTACAGAATTACATCAGCGATATAATGAACATCTGACGACACCTTAATATTTACGAACGTAACCTTAATTAATCTGAACTGCACCATCAATGACCGGTCACCTTAACAGTACAGAATTAAATCAGTGACATCATGAACGTCTGCCTACAACATAAGTGTTCCTAACGTCACCTTAACAATTCTGAACTGCATCGTCGATGGTCAGTCATCTTAATGGTTCGGAATTACATCGGAATTACATCTGTCATAATTAGAAGCACTTAACTGTTCGTAATTACATGGGTGATATTACGAACATCCCCCTACGACTTAAAGGTTCTGAACCTAACCTTACGAATTGCGAACTGAGTCGTTAATGATCAGTCATCTTAACGGTTCGTAATTACATCAGCGATATCATGAAAGTCTGCCTACAACATGTGTTCCGAACATCACCTTCACGATTCTGAACTGCATTGTCAATGATCAGTCATCTTAATGGTTCGCAACTACATCTGTGATAATCAGAAGCACATCATAACAATTCTTAATATCATTGTCAATGAGCTGTCATGTTAACAGTTCAGAAATACAACAAACACATATAGAGCACTTACAACAACTTTATTTTTTACAGTGCATTGTTTTAACAATAAATTGCCTCAAAGTACTTTACAGCATCCCCACCAAAAGCCCCCAGTGAACAAGCCATAGGTACACATATAGCGGGGTATGTTGGATGTCTTGATTGAGCAGTTTATCATTGAGCACACCATGTGAAGAGTAGCGGTAAGAAAATGTGTAAGTATAGTAGTGGTTCATGTCAACTGGAGAAATGGCAAAGTCCGACATTAAGCTTAACATTTCAGAATTGTTAGGCTTCTTTACGGAATAACGTCGTACCTGCTTAAAATTACTTAAATGTTAATAATATATATGTAATTTTTAATAATCAAAGGCAGGGAAACCAAAATTACACTTAACAAGTCAGAAATAATTTTTCAAAATCTAAAAGGCGCCACCTGGTGGAAAAGTGGAGAAAGGTGTACTAACTAATTCCTGAAAAAGCCACAATTATTAAGAAACTAACAATTATGGCTTTCTGAACTAATGGCATTTTCCATTGGAAAAGCAATAATTCAGGAGGGTTAAATTTTGTACAGATAAACGTCGCCGTTCACAATAACGTTGCAAAACAATGTTAATGGGATTAGCCGTTACGGCTTTTCATCATAACAATCGTGGATGAGGTCTAACCTTAACCATAACCTTAACCCTAACCCCAAACCCCCTTCCCTAACCGTAAATCTCTTTCCCTAACCACAATTATAAAACCTAATCTTGCCCGTGCCACCATGCCGTCATACGGTGTCCGCCCGCCTCCCCCCATCCCCTTGAAAAGATCAGTAAGCTGCACACAAAAATAAAATAATAAAAATAATACTTACCTGGACACTTACCTGTGGAATCCGGAAACATCTGGAAGGGGATGAAACAGACACAATTATTCTTCACTGTTATGCGATGGACTATGCCCCAAAAATGTATAGAAATTTATATTAAGCGGCAGTGCCGAATCGGGGGCCGGGCTTCTCCCACTATATATATAGGGAGCTGCAGTGCAGGATTTCATTTGAACGGCCGGAGCCGATGGTGCAACATCTAAGGCCCAGTGGGCGAAACTCAAGGCACCAATATATTTAAGGCCTAGTGGGCAGTTTGCAGGGGGCTGAGGTCTAGTCGGCACCCCCTTTATGATTTTATGGCCTAGTGGGCAGTTTGCAGGGGATGAAAGCCTAGTGGGCGCCCCCTTGATAATGTTTCCGCCGGTTTCCTGATGAGGGCAAGGCAGCCCGAAACGCGTTGAGACCTGACATGGTCCGCAATTTATAAAGCCTAGTGGGCAAATTTAAAACCATAGTGGGGGATGGAAGGCCTAGTAAGGCATATTCAAATGGCATACTGGATGGATGGCTCCTAACAATATTTTTTCAAAGTCCTGTGGACATATTAAGCACTAGTGGGGATCTGAAGGCCTAGTGGGCAACATTTAATTATAAGTGTCCTATATACTCACCTGTAAAGTCCTGGAGATGTCTTACACAGCCGTAGAAAAGGATTTAGATTATTTAAGGCCCAATGGGCGTAATTAAAGCCATATATGTTTAGCAGCGATGCCAGGGGATGGGATGCAAAGGGGTGGGCACTAGATGGCATGTTGTAGGCCAGTGCCTTCCTGGGGTTATTCCCTAACCCTAAACCCCTACCCCAGCCCTTACCGTAACCTCAAACCCCCTTTCCTAACCCTAACTCCTACCTTTAACCATAACCCTATAAAACAAGCTTTTTTAACTAAATGAATTGGCCTTGACAAATTAAAAAAAAGACATCATCCCTGCCACTAATGGCATCTGAAATATAAAAAGACAATACCAAAAGAGAATGATCAGTGAGGAGAACCACAAGAGTGCAACAATAGTAGTGGTGCGAAAAATTAAGGTTTTCAATGCTTACTGATGTGGCTTACTTTCGTAAATTGTTAATGACGTCACTGGTTTAAACTTATGGTCCGATGCTTTCAATAACTGAGGACAAACAAACGTCTTTAAGATCACCATACACATTGATATACAGTGGTACCTTAGTTCTCGAACTCACTAGAATTAGAATTTCTTTTGAAAGTTGAACAAACCATTTTGACCTAGAACTCTGAATATCAGAAGTCGAACCGTGAACATTGGGCTAATATAAATCGTACACACCAGGAAAGAACGGATTAAGTTCGAGAACCAAGGTACCACTGTATATAGAGATCTTCTTGAGGAAGTGTAATGCTATGACAAGAACTTTAATTATATATGTTTTTATTTTTACCTGTGTATATATCCAAGACAATACATTGGTGTGACTTACTTTTAGCCTCTTTGGTTGAGGGGGGGCGCTTGGGTCTCAGATGCGGGGGCATCTTCATCTCCAGCTGGAATATCAAGACATACACCAATAATTTTGACAATCACCATCACCATTCAATTTTATCAGCTATACTTTGTCACTTACATGTCTTACATTCACCAGGGGGATGATTGTCATGAAATAGATTTATACATTGGTGTGACTTACTTTTGGCCTCTTTGGTTGAGATGAGCGCTTGGGTCTCAGATGCAGGGGCATCTTCATATTGATCTGCCATTGTGATTGTGATGCCTACCACAGAAAACAGCATTAAATTATTATCAATCCATTTCAAAACGTTTGAAATCCGCAATCAATAGAAGTCCGGGAATGTCACATACAATTAATAAAACACTCAGTTATACATTCGAAATAAACTGGATTGTAAATAACATACATACACATGAATGCGCACTGTAGTAAAAAATTTAAATTAAATTATACTTGCAAAAGCAGTTCCCAGTTTAAAAAGCTTGCGATAAGTAGTCTGAATATACTTGTTAAACAGCCATCATAAAACGTGTTTATTTTGTGAGACAATGCATAGCATTTCAATCAATAGCAAAAGGCGAAAATGTACAATTAATAAAACAAATGCACAGGCAATGCATCCGCAATCAATAGAAGTCCGGGAATGTAATGTTTACAGTCAATTATACACTCGAAATAAACTGGATTGTAAATAACATGCATACACATGCATGCGCACCGCCATTATTGTCTTCATTAGCTAAGCAAACATTTCTCAGTCACCGTATTGTACGGGTGCAGCGTTTCGGTCGCGTTTAACTCTCTGGGGTCGAGTATGTCGTCGGCGACATCGCGTACTTTTCGCGTCTATTTCAGTTTATATCTCGCTGAAATCTTAATGTAGAATCATGAAAAAAACGCTGGCTA